AAAACAACAACTGATTTAATTTAAACACTTAGCAACTTCATTTGTTCATGGATTTTGGTCAAACTTTATGCAAAGGTCAAGTGTGAGTATACTTCAAACATTGGTGTGTTTCAGCGTTCCAAGGTAAAAGCCAAGGTCACTGTTGCTAGATATAGAAAATCATCAACTGATTCAATTTAAACACTCAGGTTATCAAGATCAAAGTGGTTGTAACCTTTTATAGAATACTGAAACTAATTTCACATGGCAGCGAGGGCATTTATGTCTTACAGACATATTCTAGTCTCTTTAAAAATCCTCTTCTCAATAACCTAGAGGCCCAGAGACCTGGTACTGGGCCTGTAGCGTGCTGGAATGAAGGGCTATCAAGTTTGTTCAAATGAGTGTTCTTGCCCGACTTTTACAGGTCACAGTGGTTAAATGAGGTAAAATGTTTAAACAACTTCTTTTCAATAACCAAGGGGCCCAGAGACCTGATATTGTGCCTGTAGCATGCTTTGATAAAGGACTACCAAGTTTGTTCAAATGAATTATCTTGTCTGCCTTTCAAGGTCACAGAGGTCAAATGTGCTAACATCTTAAAACAACTTCTCAATAACTAATATTGAGCCTATAGCTTGCCTGGATGAGAGGCTACGAAATGTGTTCAAATGAATGACATTGACCGACTTTCAAGGTCACTGGGGTCAAATGTGCTAACGTCTTTAAATAACTTCTTCTCAATAACCAATAGGCCCAGAGACCTGACATTAGGCCTGTAACATGCTGGGATGAAGGGCTACTAAGTTTGTTCAAATGTATGACCTTGATCTTGATTCAAGGTCACATGGGTCAAATGTGCTATATTTGAATAAAGTGGTATTGAGCTTAGCATCCGCATAAATGACCTAGATCAGCTTCAATGTTGCATTAGAAGCAAATGAGCGACACAGGCCATTGGGCTTCTTGTTTAATTTCTGCACAATATCTTCAGTAATGTTGGTTGGATTGCTTTCAGACTTTATCCTGTGCTTTTTTGAAGAAAGTGCTTGCTTTGAATAGCTTTTCAAGCCCGGCAGTCAAAGGTCAAGGTCACTGTAACCATGAATACATTAGTTTAGGCACAATATTTCCAATTCTGTTGGGATGATTACACTCAGGCTTTATCAAGTGCTACCTCAGAGAAAGTGCCTGCTTTGGTGCTTTGGTGGTGAAAGGTTAAGGTCATTGTTACTTTAGAAAGTATTTGCTTAGGATACAAATTGTAACTTTTGAGGCATCGATGTGAAAGTTCAAGGTTAATGTTACTATAAATAGAAAAACATTTCATGCACAATATTTGGAGCTCTTTTGGGCCGTATGCACTCAGACTTTATCCAGTGTAGTAAAATGTTTGCTTGAGCTTTTGGATAGCTTTTCAGCCTTTGATATCAAAGGTCAAGGTCACTTACTATAAATAGAACATCAGTTTGTGCACTGTATTTTGAATTCTGTTTGACTGATTACACTCAGATTTTATCGAGTCCTTCCTGGAAGAAAGTGCCTGCTTGGGATAACTTTTCAGGACCAGTGGTCAAAGGTCAATGTGTCACTATAAATAGAAAATCTGTTTAATGCATTAATGCACAATATCTTGATTTCTCTTGGGCTGATTACACTCTTGACTTTATACAGTGCTTCCTCAAAGAAAGTGCCTGCTTGGGATAACTTCCCAGGCCCGGGGGTTAGGTCTCTATCACTGTTACAATACGAATAGAAAATCAGTTTATAAAATGCACTACTTATATTTTGAGTTCTGTTGGGCTGATTACGCTCAAGACTTTATCCAGTGCTTTTATAAAAGAAAACACGTGCTTTCACTAGTGTTTGCTACATGTATACGTAACCACAGTTTCTTTTAAATCTTCAATAAACATAATTATGGAGAATAGTCACGGCGGCATTGAATATATATATATATAAATCTTATTACAGGTTAGCTTGTAGGAATATTAATAATAATAAACTTTATTTTCTGAGGATAAATCCTGTTAAACAAAGCTTATCTTCCACAGGGTCCTCTTGTTAGTAAAATATCAGTTAGTAAAATTACAATTTCATCATTATCACAGAAATAATAGTAAAACATCTTATATTAATAAATTGTTTGCCAGACATGTGGATATTGGTATATTTATAGTGTATCTTAAAAATAGAGTACATGTAACAGCTTATAAAAATCAAGGCTTGAACATTAAACATTTTTAATTATGATAACATATAGGTAGTCATTAAAAAAATGATCACAATTACTATGCTAAAACAGAGTGGGAGTAAACAGGTTTATCACAGGAAACATAAAAGTTGTGTTTCACTAAAACCCACATGATTAAAATAAAAGGAATCACATAGAGTCCCTAAGGTTGCTACAGAAGGAGTGTTTAAAAGAAGTTAGATTGGTAGATGTCCTTATTATGTTAGGTATTCTGTTCCAAATTTGGTTGCTGATACAACAAAATTATTTGCATAAAATTTGGAACGGTGACCTGGTATCTGTAAAAGATGGTTTTGGCTTGATCTTGTATGTCAGGTATGAACATCAGACAATAATTCAAAAGCATTGCACAGATATCCCGGAACAAGATGATTTACACATTTGTACACATTGTACCTCTTCTAAGTAGATAAAAATCAGCTATTGGCAACCAGTTTAAAACAGAAAACATGTCAACAGACGGAGTGTCATATGGAGTGCGGCCAATAATGTCATACTGTTAGGTCAGTAGGTAAAGACCGAGATATTAAGTTGAAGGAGAGAGTAACATTAACTCAGATGCAAGATGATCAAAGCAAGTGAATGCAAAATGGAGATATTTGAACAGAACCTGATCTATCTTTTACAGTCGCCAAAATGTCCAATCCTCTGCTAAGTTATATTAAGGGTCCCAATTTAAATTGATTCATTCATCATGGTCACAAGGCCCTTGGTTTTACATTAATATACCAGTAAAACATATTACCCAAGCATTTTCCTATGACATAAGTGGTTTTGCTAGGGCACATCCATCCTAATTTCAGCCGGTATACCTTTCCACACCTTGCTTAAGAGGAATTAAGCTCCGCATGACCAAAATAACTGAATGAGCCTCAGATATCTAAGATACAGCACTATATCATTTCGTAGCATTCATTTGGGTCGCTGATTAGAGACAACTCAATATCTATAATTAAATCAAGTTCGTCACTCACAGTCTCTTCCGAGGTATATCATATCTTACTTTGATAAATATGTATATATCTATATTAGTATACACGAATTCTAAGTTAATATATATTATACATTTTATGTATTTTTCTCTGATTACAATGTAATCTGATAGTATAACAAATGGATCTAAGCTTTGTAAGTGCTCGACATGTAGACGCGTAAATGTGCTTACCACTTGAACTTTTCTCGAATCCACTGAAATACTAATTTCTCTTTGTGATCTTAATCCTCTTATCCCGAAGGTTGTGTAAAATAACTGACTAGTCTGATAATGGTACTATGATCGTGTATAAACACTCCTGATTTCATCTCGCTTTAAATCACAAGATTCTACATTGGACACAAAAACCAGTTGTATAAAATTGCTGAAGAGTCTTTTTTGAATAAGTAATGGGCGACAACTCGTGTAGAATTGTAAACGTAAATATCTCCTTCACTATAGGTGTGCAGTTTCATTTTTGTGCATGCTTAATGATTCAGAAAAAAGTTAAAAGTAACGGTTCAAACGACCCCTTCGTGAAGGTAGTTTCTCTACCAATGCCGATTCAATAAGACCCTTTAAATTTTTCGATGAACATTTAAATCAACAAACAACGACGATTTCTTATTGTCTTAAACATTTTTATTAGTAAATGATAAAAACAGAACATAACATAAAATCTTAATAGTCAAACATCAAAATAGTCGTCTTGTTTTGATTAGTGAGTATATACATTGATAAACTCCAAGCTTAATTACATCTAACCATCTCGTTCTTTTTGAAAACATTGATGTATGATATAAATTTCTAAAATAGGATAAACTGTCCGTTTATCTTTTGTATGTTAATAACAATATGGTATATAACACATACATGTATACAATAACAGTTAATTACCCTGAAATAGTTTAAGATGTAACCAGATTTGATAATGATAATAACTGTATATTTATCCTTCAATTTGTTATTTTACTGTTTTATTTCATTCTGGTTCACTTTTAACGTTTTCGTGGTTCTGAGAAGAAAAACAATTAAACGTGTAAAATCTTCATGATAGCAATACACATGTATGGAAATATACCACTTTTTATTATTTTACAGATATATTCTGTAATGAGAGTTTGACACTGAAATAGTTTAAATTGCACATTAAGATTCAACACAAAAATTAAATACATTTGTGTCAACTCGGTTGTTACATTAAAAGAAAAAGAAATTGTAAGACAAAAATACACACGTTTATGACGTCGAAGAGTTTTACAGAAACACACACGCATACTAAAACATACACAAATAATAATAAAACATATGCTCTCCCATGATTTACACGCATGTCATATAATTGTCAACCCTCAGATACTGACCCGGTGTCAGGTGACACGTTTTGGACAGTGACGTCATACGGACAAAATATAGCAACTCCTAAAAGATAGGGAGTATAATAATTATTATCATTATCTTATCAAAAAATAGAAAAATATATTAGCAAAGTATTTTTTCCGATTTATACATTTTATAAAGTGCTAACACTATTTGAGGTTTTACGGTTGTTCGATATGAGGGGCGTATTTGTAGTCTTACTCCTGATTTCCGTGCGTGGTAAATAAAATGGTTGTCCATGTAATATTTTCTCAGCTTAAACGGTATTGGTGAATACGCTGATCATAAATTCAATGCATATCTTTTAGATATGACATTACTTTTTTCTTTTCTAAAAGTATATATTAAGCGGAAGCCTTTCATTGTCTTCTTACGAGATAATGACCAATTTGTAAATTTTGCCGGATAAAAAAATAGCAGGAATACGCCTAATAGATTGTGATAAGTTTTCATGAGTGGTAATTGATAGGTCTTTTGTTAATTATCAAATATTACGTATATTAATTTTATACTATTTTGTAAAATGTTAGACATCTGCATATTTTCTTTTTCCATGTTTATCTATAATTCTGAATTTTCCCAAATATTTTTTTTATTCAATATTGAAAAAAGGCGATATTTTCCATTTACAAATGGTAGGGTAATCCGATGATGTTCGTTTCTGATATAAATATCACTTTTTTGGATCGAGAGTGACTGATGCAGAAATTACTGTCTTTATTTCATATCGAAATTGAGATTAAACATAACATATGATGTAACTCAAGTGAAAGGATTTATGACGAAAATAAAATTACACCCGTAACAATGTCACATTGACATGACGCTAGGCGTTACGTGACAGACGGCGTCATCACTACGCTCATCCCTGGTATTGTCCCCCTGTCCTGTGCTCTATCTCCTGGTCGGAGGGAAGTGGCTGCTTAACAAAGTCATCATTAGTTGGCGACACTGAAAAGAAAAGTGTTTTCTTGCAAAACTTGTAAACCTGTTACTACATGCATATATTTATTTGACTCCTAACTTACGAAACCGGATCATGCCAAATATCGATGCTATAATATTCGACATTTATATGAAGCGTCTAACACATAGGCCTACTTGTAATATCATATGCCATGCAGATCCTGGTCACGGCCCCATTTTAACTTGTAAGGAGAAGTTGATGCATTTTCCGAAACACATGCACACATAGAAAAACAATGACCGACTATTTAGCACTACTGTACCTGCTAGCACACACTTCCGCTCCTTGACCGGAACTTGCTCCTCCTCATCACTATCACACCCGCATGCCCGGCCAATCGACTCGGCCAGGAAGTTGCAGGCTGAAAAATGAAAATCTTTATGTCTATCAACTTAACCAAGGCTAATTGGTATTGATGATTCATCATACATTGTAATGCGTCGAAGATTTGAAGACCTTTAACGAAAGAATGATATTTTACTCAGTTGGTTAAAATATCTTCTTCAATATAAGAACATGAAATTTGGACTCCACTATATACGATATTGTACATATAAATTTTGTTGATACTCATATATGAAACAGTTGGATGGTTTTACTTTTCTAACCACGTTAGTCTTATATACATTACCTTCGTTAATACAAGTCGTATAAAAGTTACATTATAAAGTCAGGATGACTAAAACATTTTTTTCTCCGTTATAATGTCTATAAATCAATAAAAAATATAGTCAATTGCTAGGTTATTTGTAGCCATAGAGACCGAGGAGGTAGATTGATTAAGCCACACGATGACAATCAACCAAGTTGTAAAGAAATCAATATTTCACGACAATATAGAAAGGCTCATCTACCTTTAATTATCAATAACTAGTTTTGATACCAACGGTGGACTCTGCTAACTGTGTCCATAGTACGGTAAACATGTACTGTGTACCTATCTCACCGATAGTAGGGTTTTTCTATAGTGTTATATACTAAAATCATTCATCCGTGACTTAGGTGATCAGCCTTATTACATTCTTACTATAATTTTAATCTATTAATAGTTGAATGTTCTATATATTGACACAGATGTTCCCTATCCTTGTGAAAAGCTAGCTATATAACCGCGACTGCCCTGTGAAGTAGAGAGGTGTTTTAATTAGTATTTTTTGGTTCCGTCTGTTATACAGGCTGATATTCCATGGATACATTTACATTGCAGTATATTATATACAGTAGCACTTACATGCGTATGAGAATCACTTAGTCATGGTGAACCTACATGTACCTGTACTGTATACGTAATTATAACAAAACTTACATAAATCTACCGCACACCTGTACATTGTTTACACTTACCGTTGATTAATAATCAGCACATCCTCAAATATATTTAGACACAGGTAAGTCGTTGTAGATCTGCACGTTTAGTACTGGTTCTTATGCCACTCTAGATCTAGACCTACTGCTCGCTAAGTTACAACAATAACATGTGAACGTGACCTGTGAACACACGGTACACCTCTATGTTTACGTTACATTACATGCGGTACACCTCTTGTATTTTCATGCGGTACTGTCCTGTAATTGTTACGCAGTGCTTTTTTTATCAAATGTCTGAATTGATACTGCATAAAATGAAAGCAATTTTCATACTGTGTATTATTTAGTTGTGTGTACAAATTGAAATATTTGATTGAGTATACATATATTTATCCACAGTAGCATATGTAATATGTAAACACGGCGGTAATACAGAGGTGATGATAGAGAATGTTCTGATCATGACCATGATGTAAATATATGTCACATTGATACTTAGGAATATAGTACAAGGTTTTAATGAGATATTAAAAACGTGACACTACAATATTGTACAAGGCATAGCTGTTACTACAAGTGGGATCCATCTATAACGGCTAGTTATTACATTAACCAGTACTAGCTATAGCGAACAGTTCAGATACTAAATATTACAAGAAAGTGAACCGTCTTCAATACTCGGTTTTACTGTTTTCAATTTTGCTAACCTTGTTAATAAAATTTGCAAATCTGAAAAAGTAAATGAAACAGAAAAAAGGGTTAACTTCTGAATGACTATACTATGAGAAAACCATAACACAAACGCAATGCCATCAATGATGAAAACTACATGGACATTACAAAATGACGAGAGAGAGGGGTCAGAAAGACTAGAGCGAAACCAGTCAAAACCACGTGACTCATATGTGCAAAACAAAACTACAAATTTGTATAATAGTCGCTCCTTTGCCTGTATTAGTGACAGCAAAACTAACGACAACGCGTGATTGAGTTTTTATTAATGGTTGTTTTGAAGAGAGGAAGCCTAGATCTACTTTCACTTTATACGAGGAAAAGTTTATTTCTAATACAGAGGGGTGTTAGGTCTCCAACTTTGAAGGGATGTGGGATTTCCAGTATGAAAGAATGTTACTGTTCCGGATATATGAACGATATGTGATTGTTGGTATGTTGCTTTTTATTCTCGTTAACGCGAAATAGATTTACAATCTGTTTACATAAATCTATTTCTAGTATCTGTGTTTCTATATCTAGGACCCTGTGAGTAAAGCTGTTCTACCAGCTATGTTGTATTAAATATAAACAAAGAGAGAGACGACCAACATAGCCACCGTCGTATGTCTAAGCTAGCCTAGCATTCCTACGAGGTAATGAACAGTACAGCCCCTACACAGAGGGAGAGCAGGTGGTACACATCACGATACGCATAAACATCTACCCACAAGATCAAAGAACACTAACTATGTATATTGATGAGAAGATGTAAAGATATAACATTAGCCAGTCTCCTTAATACGCTTTCTGATATACTCCTGGTTGTGTGAGTCTTGTACTGTAAGTACGAACTCTTAAGTCTAGTTAATATGGATTATGATGTACACGTGAGTCTTATTAATATGGATTATGATGTACACGTGAGTCTTGTTGATATGGATTATGATGTACACGTGAGTCTTGTTGACATGGATTATGATGTACACATGAGTCTAGTTAACATGGATTATGATGTACCGTGAGTCTTGTTGATATGGATTATGATGTACACGTGAGTCTTGTTGATATGGATTAGGATGTACACGTGAGTCTTGTTGATATGGATTATGATGTACACATAAGTCTTGTTGATATGGATTAGGATGTACACGTGAGTCTTGTTGATATGGATTAGGATGTACACATGAGTCTTGTTGATATGGATTATGATGTACACATGAGTCTTGTTGATATGGATTAGGATGTACACGTGAGTCTTGTTGATATGGATTAGGATGTACACGCGAGTCTTGTTGACATGGATTATGATGTACACGTAAGTCTAGTTGACATGGATTATGATGTACACGTAAGTCTAGTTGACATGGATTATGATGTACACATGAGTCTAGTTAACATGGATTATGATGTACTCGTGAGTCTTGTTGACACAGATATTCATACGAGGTTCGTTAATATTGTTTCCGATGTAGACGCCAGGCCTCGTGGATATAGATTCTTTTTGTAAACGTCAATATGACTGTATTCAGAAAATAATCAAAACTTAGTTTTATCTGGTCTAGATAGATCATTCATTTTCGAAATTATTTTTCAAAGTATAAACCGTTACTGTTGTTCATACATACTGTATAAAGTTTACACAAATTATGCATGTTTAATCTTCATTACCAATAGCATTTGTAGTAGATCATATCCGAACGGGATTTCTGGCATAGAGTAAGTTCAGCCGGGTAGTGATGTCAATGTCATATAATGAACAGAAAGTAGATGTTAGCATTGGAATATCTGAATGCACACATTGGATATTTACCAATCTAATTAAAATTATATCTTCACATCGCTCCCGTTTACAAACCGGTCCGTGCAACGTGTTAAGATTTCTTTCCAGCAGACTGAATGCATTCATAATGGAATGAACCTCTGACCCTTCTGATTTTGTTTTCATATGAGCCTTAATTTATAGAAAAGCAAGAAAAATCATGTAGTCCTTTAATTTTACTTTCAGATATATTTACGATGTGCATATACATGCACCCTCCTACGCTTGAAATCTTCAACATGATGGCTTACATGTGCTACTAAGCTATACGACTTGCGGGACGATTTCGAATTCAAATCGTCAACTTTCTCTTTCTTGATTGTAACACCGCCTTATTTCCCAATATATGTTTTACATGTGCAGTTAAATAAGTATTCAAGGGCTCTCTCTGACTATCAGGATTGCTGGGATAGATGTTGACTGCTGGTAAACAAACTTACAAACACAAGACGTAGGTTGTTGAAGACTATGGACAAGCTTTGTGGCTGCAATCTCCGTGTGTGCCATGGAGGTTGATGTTTTTTAATGCTCATTGGTATCCCCTGTTGTTTCATTGTCACTACACTCATTCTCGCTGTCATGACGTGATTTTACATGGATTTGACATAAATTGACATGATGAACCAGAAGCCGTTTAATCTTTTAAAACATATTTTTTCAAGTTTTCATGCAAAAATGTTCTTTATTTTGTTTTGTCCCAGTTTTATAGATTTTGAGCTCGAATTATTGTTTTGTTACCAATTCGATAACACCACTAGTTTGTGAGCGGTTTATTCTAGTAACTAGCTGCGAAACACAAAACAAAAGAATGAAATAATTAAAATAGATTTTATTAGTTGTAATATAAAGAGCACGTTTACAGGTTTAAAAAGTTGCAATTTCTTCAATCTAAATGAATGACCGATTATTTGCTAGGAAAGACAATGAAAAGCCTTAACGATTATAAACAGGAAACAAACAATCTATGGCAAACAAACACAATAAATAAACAATTTTGATAACTAATTGGTAACAAGTCATTTAAGAGATACATTTTTTTTCTATTGTTCCCCATATACCTTTAACTAAGGTTCCTGGACTTAAAATCAAGCTTTCCATTATTAAAATATCATGATCAAGCTTTCCATTATTTAAATATCATGATCAAGCTTTCCATTATTTAAGTATCATGATCAAGCTTTCCATTATTTAAATATCATGATCAAGCTTTCCATTATTTAAATATCATGATAAAGCTTTCCATTATTTAAATATCATGATCAAGCTTTCCATTATTTAAGTATCATGATCAGGCTTTTAAATATTTTAGTATCATGATCAAGCTTTCCATTATTTAAGTATTATGATCAAGCTTTCCATTATTTAAGTATTATGATCAAGCTTTCCAATATCTAAGTACTATGATCAAGCTTTCCGTTGTTTAAGCATTATGACTCTCTTGAAAAAAAGGCGGATTGTCTTAACAATTTGACAAATTATTTGTCTACGCTATAACTTCTCTGGTCATGTATCCATTTAAGTACAAGGAATGAAACAATTTGTTGGTTCGGATCCAGTGTCAACATGTGTCAATATCCGATCACACTGCCGTTATTACTTATGATGTATATGCAGCACCACCAACAGTAAAGCGAGTAAATATTCTAATTAAAAATAAACAATCCTCCCTGAGTTCAACCAAACAGATATGTATACAATGGATCCGGCATGACATTTATCATGTCAGAAACTTATACCAAGCCATGCATCTTGGTCTCATTAAATCAATTAACTTTTAATAAAATCTTTCAGGGCGATATTACATAAACATTACCAACACCCATCGTTCCTATCCAACAACCACTGGTGATGTTTGTTTCCACACTATGAGCCAAACAGCGATATATAGTTCTGGTTAAAATTGAGATATCACAGCTGCATGTAATTTGAAGCACTTGAAATTGATAAAACTATGTACAATGCAAGGTAATAGTGAGGTCGGCATTATTGATGAGATGGCTTGATAAAGCTAATGTCTTTAGATTGACATGGGATACGAAGGAAGCGATGGCAGATGTAGGAACAAGGATCTGCGTCTCAAACACCTAACCTGTAAAACGATAAAAAAAAACATGAATAGGACACATACATGTTTTGAAGCATTATCCTTGTTTGCACTCACGCTAGTTTATATAATTAATGTCAATTACCACAAATTAAAGCAGACATCACAAACACTTAGGTTCGTTTGAAAAGAGTTTATTTCATTTTATGCGATCTGATTAAAATCATGTTATATGACTTCGTCAACTTAAGTACGAAGTACACGAAGCATTACATTATGTGATTGATCTATCAAATTATTGGTTTTAACTGAAACGGTGTTTTTCGATAATATTATGTTCAGAAATGATATAAGATATATAACAATACATTTTCGCTGCACATGTATGTAAGATTCGACCGGTCTAAAATCTCCATATGATTTAAACCCGGTATTACACTTACCACACGTTGTTGTGAACCTGTTAGTAGGGCTTCCCATAAGATGGAGGGGGTGCACTCGGCTGAGCTACTGGATACATGGCATTCTGCTGTGTGTTGTATGTGTAGCCCTGTGCCTGCTGCTCCTGTGCCTGTTGAGCCCAAGTTTTGGGTGGATTAGTTGCCAACATCTCTTTACGTTGACGTTCCTTTCTCCTGGATATTTTCAGGAAGACGCACCAACCAATCGCAATGCCGATGAGAACCAACACGACCCCTGCTCCAGTCGCAATAGGCCTGATCAGATAATAGTAATCTGTACCAAAACAAACAGTAAACGATTCAGTATAGTAAACATAAAACTCCCCCGGTAATTATATATTTACAATGTATGGTTTCATGTTAATGAAAGGATTCCAGAATAGGTGAAGTTTGCATCAGTTGATTATTGATTTTTTGTACTTTTTGTACTTGCACTGCTTTTCTTTAACCCTTTCACCACTGTAAACCATAATGGGCTCATCCATATCAATGCATGGCAGAGTCTACTAAAGTTACATAGTGACGAAATGAAGCAGAAGACGCTTCCCTTTTGACACACCTAATCTCATTTTCTTTGTACTTATTTAAGGGTCTTGCTTTTAATCTTACCATTCTTTAAATTTCGTGCCAAAATTTTGTCTGAATCCAAATAAAACCCTGATTTAAAACTGAAGCTTTCATAGTGGTAAATGGGAACCTTGCTCATTAAACATTGGGAGACATTGATAACCACTGTTCATTGATATAATCAAATGAAGTCATCGATACGGTCATGAAGTCTCTGTAACTTACCATCATCGTCGTCATCATCATCGCTTATTCCATACACCTTGAGTGTAACATTGGAAGCGGTCAACGAGTCAGCGTTGTGGAACTTCAATAATATCTTGCTTTTGCCTTCACTACAAAACTTGAATTCGCCAGAATAACAATCCAGTTCCTGAAAAAAAACCCAGATAAATACACAATAACACATGCATTTATATTTAACAGGTTTGTGTGTGCGTGTACGTGTCTGTGTGTGCGTGTCTGTGTGTGTGTGTCTGTGTGTGTGTGTCTGTGTCTGAGGGACATGTCTGTGTGTGTACATGTCTTTGTGTACATGTCTGTGTGTGTGTGTCTGTGTGTGTGTGTCTGAGGTACATGTCTGTGTGTGTACATGTCTTTGTGTACATGTCTTCTGTGTGTGCGTGTCTGTGTGTGTGTGTCTGTGTGTACATGTCTGTGTATGTACATGTCTGTGTGTCTGTGTCTGTGTGTACATGTCTGTGTGTACATGTCTGTGTGTGTACATGTCTGTGTGTGTACATATCTGTGTGTACATGTCTTTGTGTACATGTCTGTGTGTGTGTGTCTGTGTGTGCATGTCTGTGTGTGTGTGTCTGTGTGTGTGCATGTCTGTGTATGTCTGTGTGTACATGTCTGTGTGTGTCTGTGTGTACATGTCTGTGTATGTCTGTGTGTACATGTCTGTGTGTGTCTGAGGTACATGTCTGTGTGTGTCTGAGGTACGTGTCTGTGTGTACATGTCTGTGTGTGTCTGAGGTACATGTCAGTGTGTGCGTGTCTGTGTGTACATGTCTGTGTGTGCGTGTCTGTGTGTACATGTCTGTGTGTACATGTCTGTGTGTACATGTCTGTGTGTGTACATGTCAGTGTGTGCATGTCTGTGTATGTACATGTCTGAGTGTACATGTCTGTGTGTACATGTCTGTGTGTCTATAGGTGTCTGAGTGTACATGTCTGTTTGTGCATGTCTGTGTGTACATGTCTGTGTGTACATGTCTGTGTGTGCGTGTCTGTGTGTACGTGTCTGTGTGTACATGTCTGTGTGTAGATGTCTGTGTGTACATGTCTGTGTGTACATGTACGTACGAACGTAAAAGAAAAGATAAGTTAAGAGGTAGGGTAATGAGGAAGATACACAACGCTTATGGCTGCAAATACGACTTTACTGTAAATATTCTACTTCCTCAGACAACATACACACGTTATATTTATATATTAAAGTCAATGTGCATGGTTCTGTTGTCAGTTCAACTGGTTTTCAATTAAGAAATTACCTGGGAGTTTACCAACAAGGTGGATGTTATAGATGAAAACAGAAGACACTAACCCTTCCAAAATGATGGGTTTTCTTCTCCTTAAAATTTTCCTTCTCCTTATAATTTTTAAGTTTTAGATGTGGCAGGTAGGTAGGGTTCAAGATATGAAAGGTTGCAGGGGTATGTGAGATACATGTATCAAGGATGTAATGGTTGGGAATACCAGGAGCTGTTAGGGTTAACGTTCCAGGTGTGATGGATTTGTTACATTACAACCAAGCAGGAATTGTAAGAGTCACATACGTTGTATATCAGGAATGGTTAGGGTCACATACATTATATATCAGTATTGTTAGGGTCACATACATTGTATATCAGGAACGGTTAGGGTCACATACATTGTATATCAGAAATGGTTAGGGTCACATACATTGTATATCAGGAATGGTTAGGGTCACATACATTGTATATCAGAATTGTTAGGGTCACATACATTGTATATCCGAATGGTTAGGGTCACATACATTGTATATCAGAATGGTTAGGGTCACATACATTGTATATCAGGAACGGTTAGTGTCACATACATTGTATATCAGGAATTGTAAGGGTCACATTCATTGTATATCATGAATGGTTAGGGTCACATATATTGTATATCATGAATTGTTAAGGTCACATACATTGTATATCATGAATGGTTAGGGTCACATACATTGTATATCAGAATTGTTAGGGTCACATACATTGTATATCAGGAATTGTAAGGGTCACATTCATTGTATATCATGAATGGTTAGGGTCACATACATT